TCCGATAGTCAATACATAATCTTAGTGACTCATCCTTCTTTTTCACGAATAGAACTGGAGCTCCCCATGGTGAAGTACTATGTCGGATAAATCCTCGATCGAATAATTCTTGCAATTGGACTTTCAACTCCTTAAGTTCCTTTGGAGCCATACGATAAGGTGCCATAGAAATAGGTGAAGATCCTGGATAAGTCTCAATCTCGAACTCTACATCTCTATCAGGAGGTAACCCATGCAACTCCTCCGGAAAAACATCAGGAAACTCACTAACTGTACGAATCTCCTCGATCGTGGACAATGCACCTTTGGTGTTCAAAATACAAGCAATGAAGGTCTCATATCCCTTCCGGATCATATGATCAATTTCCATCGCTGAAACTATATTGGAGAGATAACCACGCCGTTCACCAATTAACACAACAATTCGACCATCTGAAGTCTTCAGAGTAGCCCGCTTGTATTCGCAATCCAGCTTTACCTTGTGTTTATTCAACCAATCCATTCCAAGAATTAGATCGAACTCCCCTAAAGGAAGTTCCATAAGATCAGCGAGAAATATTTCTCCCTGAACCTCGAGAGGACAACGCCGAAATACTTTATTCACTAATACCGCTTGTCATACTGGACTTGTAACTGTAACAGTATTTTCAGTGTTCTCGATCGGAATCTGAAGGTTTCGAGATACTGAGCTCGATACATAGGAGTGAGTGGAGCCATTGTCCAATAATGCAAAATATGGGGTAGAATAAATAGTAAATGTACCTGCAATAACCTCAGGCTCATCTCTGTCATCACGACATCTAGTTGCATAAACTAAAGCTGGCTGTCTAGCCTCAGAAGCTGTTGGCCCTCTATTTTGCTGAGGTCGGGCTCTACTGTCTGTCCTGGACGTTGATCCTCGAGTCTTTCCTTGACTACGATCTCTAATTGGGGTCTGTACTGTAGTCTGCGAACGCACAGGAGTTTGGGTAGTGGTCTGCTCAAACGAAACTAACTGAGGACAATCCCTTCGATAATGACCACTAGATCCACACTGATAGCAAAGACCCATCTTCTTACGACACTCTCCTGAGTGCTGTTTACCATAATACTCACAAAGGGGCCCATTATAATACGACGAGGAACCGCCTCGACTGACAGCTAAAGGTGAGGATGCTGCAGGCCTGAAACGTGTATTGCTTCTCTGAGGGGCTGAAGTACAAGTCCTCTTTCCGGACTGTACTGATGACTCCAACGGGCCTGAAAATTTCTTAGATCGATCTTGATCAACACGCTCTCTACCAGAAGCTAAAACCTTCACCTCTTCCGCATCTTTGGCTCTGCCCACCAGCACATCAAATATCTCATCCTGATGGGTTACAACTTGCCTACGCAGCTCGTATCTGAGTCCAAGGGCAAATTTACGACATCGATCTCTCTCCGTAGGTACCATACTGAATCCATACTTCAGCAACTTCAGGAACTCGATCTCATATTCAGAAACAGTCATGTCTCCCTGAACCAGGTCTTGAAACTATTGTCGTCTCTGAGCTAAATAGCGCTCCCCCAGAAAACGGCTCCGAAAGCGATCCTTAAAGAAATTCCAGGTCAAACGATCGGTAGGAACACTACTAGTCACTGACTCCCACCAAGTGTAGGCATTGCCATCTAACATCGCCACAGCACCCTGATATCTCTTAGTTGAGTCCAAACCCAACTGATCCATGCGTCTCTCTGTATCCTGGAGCCAATCCTCAGCTTCAGTAAGAGCTCCACCTATCTGTCCCCCAAAAGTTCTAACTCCATTGGCAATCAAAGTCTGCGAAATAGGAACCTCAGATACAACACCAGTAGCTATAACTGCTCCCTGTATTAACTGTAGAAATTGTCTACCAAAATTCTCATCCAAAGCAACTCCGGTAGACTCTGACTCAATATCGGTCGCTCCTATTATCGGTGTAGTCATGCCAATACCAGCGGCAGGAGGCAGATCCGTTGGGGTCGTAGGAGCATGATCACCTATCGGAGGTGGGGGATATACCCGTATCTCATCGATCGGATCTGCGAATCTAGCCACTCGACCTCGTCCACGGCTAGTTCGACGACTACGTCTAGCACTCATTTTGATGGATCTCAAGTTTACTACAGAAGATAAAACTTAGGGTTAGATAAGCACTTGGAGTCTCATACATAGTTAAAATCTTAATAACTTTGTGACATGGCCTTAGTAACTCGTTTTGTAAAATATTTCAAAACCGTATTTTCAATGTGGACTCATATACAGTCCGAGGGTTAAAAACCAAAAGCTCTGATACCAATAAATGTAACCCCCTTAACCCGACCTATGCGTTTCGACTAAGTCTAGTGGATCACATTATAATTATTAAAGACATTTTTCGCAACCGTTATTCCATCAATATAAAATCACATTATAAATAACATGAAATTATAAACAATTTATACTATCAAAATCCAACTCGTAAATATAGTACAAATAAATAATAATTTAATTTAAAACATGTCTTCAAATTCAAAATCACAATAAACCGAGCAGTATTAGCAAAAGTGTTATCATTATAAAATCCGATATTTTAAAATAAGGTCCATGTCACCAAAATAAAGTCAACTTGCCAGATAAAAACATTATCTGATTTACTTCAAGAGATATGTTGATCCTCCAAGTGCTCGAACCAAGGTATCTACCCAACAGTATCTGAAAGGGGGAAAACATTTTCAAAAGGTGAGCTAGGCTCAGTGTGTCCCAACATTTCCATAAAATCACAATAGGTACAAATCATAGTCCAGTAATCTCACAAATTCGTAAAAGAGTTTAACTTTTTGAAAATCATAGTTTAAACCCTTTTCTGGTACACCATCAGTAGTTCCCAAAATTATTTTCCATATAGCTTACTTTATGCACATAGCAAAAAGAAAGCCGACTTAAGGATAGGCTCTGAAGCTTGTATCCTTAAGCCCAAGTCAATAAGTCCATATAGCTTACCCTAAGCACACAGCAAAGGAAAGCCGACCTAATGAAACATCTTGGGGCCCTCAAGAGTCACATTAGGCCCAGTTAGCTTGATCAGAGCTATTCCATCGTAATTCAATTCCAAAATTCAATTGCACCGTGACACAAATTCCATAATCCAAAAACATGGTAATCATATACCATTTCAAAACAAAAATTAGATAGCAGCCATATTCCATAAATTGTCACATTAAATTGGTGCATCAATAAAACAATAACCAATGAATTCGGTGTACCACAAATTAAAACCAATAAAACAGTTCAGTAATAAGTAGGGAACACACCTCGACAATAGATTCAAATAACAAATCTACTGATTGCTGGTTTCACCACGCTATGCTACAGTTTTCGAACGGGTGAATACTGGCACACGTGGTTTAACTGATCTAGAAGAGCTGGGTCGAGCTGTCGAATGATCCGGAGAGTCTCTTGTACCTTCAAACAATAATATTTATCAGTCTCAAATCCTATTTAATTGTTCAAAGCTAAACTTCTTAAGTATATACGCATTTTTTTAGGTTTGACTATCAATTTGAGGTATTTCGAGTCTGAATTTGGCCAAACGGATTGCGGAATCGGAATCAGGGCGTCGAAAAACATAAAGTATGACTTTTCGAAAATTCAAATTCTTGGTCAAAGTCAAAGTCAACCACTTTGACCGTAGATTTGGAGACATTCGGATTCGAATTTGACAAAACAGACCACGGAAACGGATTCGGCACGTCGAAAACTATCAGGATATGTATACTCGGAAAAGATTAACGGTCGTTTAATGCTCGGTCAAAGCCATTTTAAGTTTTGGTCAAAGAAAGTCAACAGTCAACGGTCGGGTCGGGTCAACGGTCGGGTCGGGTTGGGTCAACGGTCGGGTCGGGTCAGAACCGGTTGAAAATCGGTTAAACCGGTTTCCAGCAGCCACTCGCCCTACGGCGGCGCGTGTGGCGCGTGAGGCGTCCTCCGGGGCCCTAAAAATCCCGGAAAATTTTCTAAAAATTATTTTGAGCGATTTCAAGATACTTACAACGATCGGTTCAAATTTTTGAACGGCGTAGAGCTCGATTTCAAATCGGCCGAATCTTTGACTGCACCACCTCCTCACGCGCCGCCGTCTACGGTGGACAAGGTTGACACCGGTGAACTCGGAACGGCACAAGGAACACGATGGTGCGGGAGGTGTCGTAAACGGAGCAACGATCAGCGGTGAATTTAAGATTTCCTCGGCGATAGAGCTAACAAAACCGTCGCTACTTTGACTGGAAATTCCCGACGTTTGGCCGCGTTTCGCTTCAATTAATTTGAAGGGTTTGTTCCTCGCTCGATGATGAACACAACGGTGGTTTTAAAACGATGATCGGAATTTGGACGGCGTCAGAATCGGAGTTGGAAACTGCGTATGGGAAAGGAAAATTGGGAGCATTTTGGTTCTGAAAATCAGAACCAAATGTACGCTTATAATCAAAGCTGCCGACAGTTTTAGGGTAAATTCAAGGCTTGGTCCTTGGATTTCCTTCACTTCTAAAATGGCCTATAAACTCTCATAAATTTTGATTTAGTCACCAACAATTTACCAATTTTCACAATTAACCTCCAATTTCAATTAAATATTATTTTGTAAATATTCGGGTTGTTACAAGGTAGCTTAAATCTGCCTGAGAGATAAGTTTAACATCCTTAGATCAATCCCTACCATTCATTCCATTGAAAGCTTGTCACGTGAGGATTATCTTCTTTTTTATTTATTTACTGTTTTTTTTACCATTTTCCTTTGCCATGACATTTCTTTTTGTTACTCATACACATTTCATTTGCCTCGGCATAATCATTTGTGAATACCATTAACTATACTTAATTAATTTAGAATAGTGCATAAATTTTACTCAATATCCTTCCAATCCCTGTGGAAACGATACTCACTCATCACTGTATTACTTTTGCGATTGTGTATACTTGCACATTATTTGCGTATAATTTTATAGTACTCGCAATACGCAACATATGCCCTTCCATGCACCCCTTATCGGAGGTGAGAAGGGTTGAGACCAAGTGTTTCGGACAGCAACCCGAAAAGAATATGGCCTAAGCTTTGAACATGCTCCGAGTACTCTATCAGTTGCTTCTCTGTATTTCAGGTTCTTATGTAAAATTTGTATCAACAAAAGCATGTGTAACCTTCCTATCTAGAATCTAATTACGATTCCGGTGCAAGTACCAAATTAGCGAAATAAATGAAGAGTTGGGAGTTGGGAGTATTATGTTTACCTGCAAGTAGCTGGAAATTCATGTTGGGGTGGAGGATTTGGAACCATAACACAAAACAAAGAGTCCCTCCGATTCGCAACTTTTGACTGGTAGAGTTAATTGTTTTTGTTGAATCTAACTTTCTTCTCTTTCTCACGTGAATAAAATTTCATCTTTACCTCCCTGGGTTGTTCATGGAAACTCTGTACACAACCGATGACCTTGTTCATCACATCTTGTGGGATTCCATGGCTGATCACTTGGAAGAGACCCCATTACTCTGACGCTAATCTCATCTTTTCAACTATATCTTTGTGTTCAGCAGGATCTAAAATATCTTTTAGATTTATGGTGGAACCTGGATACTATCTTCATGATCATCATCCAACTTTGCAGACAGTATATCTTCCGGCTCCGTAAGCATGATGTTATAATATGTAAGCGGGAAAAAAATCAAAGTTATATCAACATAAAATAAGATATGTACAAGAGACGAGATTTAACGTGGTTCTGCCTACCTCCACAGGCGAAATGAACAATAATCCATTATAGATGTAGAGAACACGAAAAGTACATGTAATCATATGTATCACAAAACCCAGTATAAATACCTAAATCCGGTGTATCCCAAAAATTCTCTCAATCTCTACAAAACTATTTTTGTAACATAAACCCCAAAAGTTACAGAGATACCAGAAAGATTACATTTCTACAAAATAATTCTCTCTCACTAGTTAAGTTATAACATTATCACTATTTATAATGTCAAATACTTGATCACCAAGAATTCTTAAAATATAACAAATTATCAATTATAATTTGGGTCAAAATATAACAAATATCCCCCTTGACCCAAATTCCATAAAAAAATTGGTCTTCAAGTCTTCAACAACTTCAATTTTTACGTAAGTTGCATATCCGTTGAAGCACCGTTGTTAAGTCTTCAACAACTTCGATTCTTACGCAATATCCATTGAAATATCACTATATCAATCGAGAATTACTTCATTACAACTGAAAACTCATTAAATCAAATTCATCTTACATGTTTCCAGAATTGCTAACAAAATCAACAGTAACAAGTTCCTTTAAAAACTCTACAGCTCGAACCATAGCTCTGATACCACTTGTTATAATATGTAAGCGAAAAAAATAATCAAAGCAATATCAACATAAAATAAGACATGCACATGAGACGAGATTTAACGTGGTTCTGTCTTGCCTACCTCACAATAATCCACTATAGATGTAAAGAACATGAAGAGTACAAATACATGATATCATATGTATCCTAAAACCCTTAATAAATATCAAAATCCGATGTATCCCAAAAACTATATCAATCCCTACATAACTATATTTGTAACATAAACCCCAATAGTTACAGAAATCCCAGAAAGATTACAACTCTCCAAAATAATTATCTCTCACTAATTAGGTTATGGCATTATTACTATTTATAATGTCAAATACTTGATCACCAAGAATTCTTAATCCATAAGGATTATTACATAAAATAATTACAATAAAATTCAATTTAATTATCAATTATAATTTAAGTCAAAATATATCACATGACAAATATTGGCGGCATGGTTACTGTACCTGCATCCACGAGTCCTTTGACGCCAGCTTTTGTATCATCGAAGGCCTTAAGCTCTTTAACTCTATCATAATATGTGCCTGTTTTCCATTGTTTTGCAAATTCAAATCTCGTTTCAGAAGCAAAAATTTAAATATGGATTCGGGTTTAGCTCTATCTTAATGTTGCTTGCTATGAATTTAGAAGAACATAAGATTTATATATAGCTGGAACAACTCATAATAATTATAAAACTTGTTATTCTACTTCCACATGATTATTCAATTAGCGCAACATTGTTTTATTTTATTCGAACAACAAAGAAAAATATAGTTTTATACTTTTCTTTTGTTTCGTATTACTATTATTATTGTCGGTTGCTTTATAGTATGTCCTTTCACAATGTGAAAACTGTCAGCTTTTACAAGGCTTTGAAAAAACCAACAAATTGGAGGGATGTAACGTGTGAGATGGATTAGTATATTTTTAAATATTGATTACAATTTGTGAATAGTTTTTGACCTTTTGTTCTTCATAAATAAAATAATTATCAAGTGGCAAACTCATTAGTGAACTCGTTAGGTGGAATGGAAAAGAAAGCGTTAGTGACGTACTAATGGTGATGTATATAAGCTGTAAAGGCCATCAAAGGTGAATAACAAACTCTCTTAAAAACTGAGAATTCCAAATGAGATTGAAGGGTCTTTTCCACAGGTGAAAGTAGCTTTTAACACATTGGAGATATAAAGCTTTAAGGCTTCTTTCTTCCAAAATGGTTCGGGAAATAATCATTGATATTTGAGTAAAATCCCATCATTATTATGGATTGGTTTTAGATGGAAAACTCATAACAATTCTCAGCATCCATGGTGGGGGAGGGAGAGGCATTATCCCTGGGATGGGACCATTCTTGCCTTCCTTGAATATCAGCTTCAGGTTGGTTGATATCTCCATCCATAAACTTTCACTCTTCATTTCTTTCGAATATTCATATCTCCAAAGTGAACATACTCACATGTATTGAAATCCGAGTAACATAGGTCTATATTCGAAGCTTAAACCTTTTTCTTGAGCAGGAACTGGATGGTAACAATGCAAGGATTGCAGAATATTTTGATTTCATTGCAGGAGCCAGCACAGGAGGCTTTGTTACAGCAATGCTTACTGCTCCGAATCGAAACAAACGACCATTGTTTTCTGCAAAAGATATCTATCTTCAAGAGAATCCAAACATCTTCCCTCAAGAATCGCAACATTGACGACAATTAGTCGCAATCTAGGTTCTGATTGCAATCGGTTCGATAAATATCTGATCAAAATCACAGAATAACAACAGTTTCATCTGATATGTCTCGACCCTTTTTCAGGCATAGCTTGAGCTGGTACACCATCATAACGAAATGGATTAAGTCAACAGGGAGTAGATACTAGTCTGTCGAGGGCTTTATACGATGGATCGAAGTGTGACATTGGTTCCCAAATATGGTGGACTTTATCTGCACAATAAGATCAAAGAAATGCTTGGGGGGATAAGAGGCTTAATGAGACTCTAACCAATGTGATAATCCCCTCTTTTGATATCAAGCTTCTCCAACACAGTTTTCTCCACCTTAAAGGTTATTTATACAAAAACTGAATGTTTCCGTTCAGAACTTCCGATCCCGATTCATTGCCATCCCGAGATTGATTCAAGATGGATTTCTTCAGTTGTTTTAATATAATGTAGTAAAAATATTGCAGGCGAGACGTGATCATTCAGAGAATGCTTCATTATCAGATGTCTGTATCAGCACTTCCGCAGCACCATATTTCCTTCCCCCTTATTATTTTGAAATCAACTCGTCCAAAGGCACCAAGAAATTCAACCTCGTCAATGGCGGTGTTGCAGTCAACAATCCCGTAAAACAAATACATTTTCCATCAAAACAAACACATCTTCATTCATAAGATTATTTCTAACACCCCAGATTTTGTTAGCAATATCTGAGTAAGGTGACCAAATGTTTTTGAAAGAGCAGAACAGAAAATGAGTGGAGAGAAAGAACCACTATGATTCATTCCTTTTTAATATTTATACAGCAATACAAAAAATAGTCAACAATCTTCAACAAGTTTCCTGATTTTTTAGCTTGAAATAAGTTTCACCACAAATCCAATGACTGTAATCATTTCAGTCAACATCAGTACATATATTAATTTCATTACAAAAAAAGTATTTGAACAAAATCAAACAAAATAAGCAACAAGTGTCACAACAAAACTGCCATCACTCCTCCTTGACATTATTGTTACTACATACTCCCAGGCTTTCTCTTAACTTCTCAAATTTCATTCTTGACAGTCGCTTAGTAAATATATCAGCTACTTGATCTTTTGAGCTGCAATGCTTCATTTGAATTTGACCTTCCTTCTCAACTTCTCTAAGGAAGTGATATTTAATGTTAATATGTTTAGTCTTTCCATGAAAGACTGGTTTTTTTTGCAATGGCAACAACATATTTATTATCACATAACACTTCAGTAGCATTCACCTGTTCATGCTTCAAATCAAGCAGCAACTTCCTCAACCAAATGCATTGGTTAACAACATGTGCAGCAGCTATATATTCTGCTTCTGTTGTGGATTGTGCCACAGTCTCCTACTTCTTGGAACTCCAACATATCCTGTCTGAACCAATAGAGAAACAAGAACCAGAAGTGCTTCGCATGTCATCAGATGAATCTGCCCAATCGCTATCAGTAAATCCCACAGCTTTATAGTTGTATTTCTTGCATATAAAACACCAAAATCTGATGTTCACTTTACTTATCTCAATACCCTTTTTGCAGCTCTTTAATGCACTTCAACTGTGCATGAACCTAGAGAGTAAACTTGTTGCATACATAATATCAGGTCTGGTAGCAGACAAATATAACAAGCACCCAATAAGACTCATGTATTGGCCTGCATCAATCTTTCTTGCTTGATCATTTTTTGCTGAGCTTTTTTCCTTGCACAGCTGGAGTATTCACTATCTTGCAATTCTCCATTCTAAATTTCTTTAGAACTTCAATTGCATATTTCCTTTGGCATATGAAAATTCCTTGTTGAAGTTGGAGAATTTCCACACCAAGAAAATATGATATTTTTCCTAAATCATTCATTTCAAAACTTTTTTTTCATCTCCTCCTTAAATTGACGAATCAACAATTGATTGCTACCAGTAACCAACAAACCATCAACATACAAAGAAACAAAAATTATCTAATCTCACCTTGTGCTTCTTTCACATAAAGAGTTGCTTCAGTACAACTTTTGACAAATCCCAGCCTTGTCAAATACTCATCAATTCTGCTATACCAGGTTCTAGGAGCCAGTTTTAAACCATAAAATACCTTTTTAAGAAGATACACCTTATCATCACAACCTTCCTTCACAAATTCCTCAAGTTGTTCAATAAAAATATCCTCTTAGATATCCATTAAAGAAGGCTGATTTTACATCTA